TCCCCATGGGACTTCCTGGCACAGTCTCTAAATGGGTGATTATTCAAATTTTCATTTCATCTTCCTCATTGGTTATTTGAACTTATTTAATGACTATTAAAACCTGCGGTGATTATAAAATTATTCATCCCTTCCAATTCCTCATTAAGTTACTCACAGTCATGTCTAAATCCTTCTCAAGCACCAATCTTTTCAACATCCTGAAGGGAAGAATGCATACTAAGAGTCCATCTTATAGCAGAAAAAAAGGAGAGTAAGACCAAAATTGTCCAAATTGTCCATTAGTTTTCTGCGCCCAACATGAAACATCAATACATCATGTATTCTACAGTTCTTTATATACTCAAATTACCGTTCCACTCAAGTCTAGATGCAACTGTGAGTGCTGAACAAGAGACCTCTTCTCTGCCCACAGTTTCTAATCTTGTTCACTTTTCCCCTTCCACCTTCTGCAGTCAATGGGACAGACCACTAAAAGAAGAGGAGCACTCTGAGCACAGCAAAATAACACAGACTCTTACTCTTAGCTCCCCTTCTGCCTCCTCAGTGGTGAAGTCAGACACTTCACAGACAGATCAAGTATGAGTATTAAAAATCCAAATTATGCTAAAGACTGGGATCAAAGTTACACTTTAAAAACAAAATAAAGTTTCAGCAGGCTATCAAGGTTAACTCAGGCTTGATACTAATAATCATATAAGGGTTTATATGACCTCACCACCAGACCAGACTCCTGCAAAATGTCAAGACCCTCATTCAAAGAATAAAGGGTCTGGAGCTGCTGAGTAAAGAGATATAATAATTTTAAAAATTGGTTGAAACTATATTATTTTCCCAGTTTATAAATAGATAAGGTATTTCCACTCATAAAACTCTTGTAATGAACTTTTCTGAAGCACAAACTGAAAGCAGCTTCTTGGATGGTTAATTTTGAGAAAAAGGCAACTGAGAGAATGGTCTTCTAAAGGCACGTCCCAAAAGGCAGTCCCTGCAAGACTCCAACAGATACAGAGAGAAAGAGAATCTCAGGTCTTTAAAAGTTTGGATGCACCTGGTTCCAGTGGGACTAATGCCCCTGACTCTGATGGAGGGCCCGGTCCCCTGTGGTCAGGCAGACTGTGATGCTGTGCTGCATTTTTTCTTGCAGATGTCAGCGTGTGCCCATTCAGCCCACACTTGGATCCCTACAGTTTAAGCCCTGAGATTTCCCCAAGCAGAAACTGCCAGGCATCTAACACATATCAAATTCAAGCTTGTTTTCTGTGATATAGCCAGACATTCACAATGGACAAGGCTGAAACCACCAAACCTATTTTACATGTGACCTAAGCGAGAATCCAGCTCTCCAGAGGCAAAAGGCTAGTAAATTAACCTACTGTGTCACCTAACCCTTCACTATTGATTAGTAATTATTCTTTTCAAATGAAACAAGGACATAGGACATAAGGTCATCTACAGTATATCCTGAGAAAAGCCAATGTTTCCCTACATCCTTCCATCCATCACCGTTGAGCACTGACTTGAAAGAAAAAAGTTCTCATTGAAATACAATTAAAAAAGTAATTTAACTCAGTCTGCATAAACCAGGAAAAGCTCGCAGATGTGAGCTAGTTCTAAGACAGGCATGACAGGCACAACTATGGTCAATTTTTCTTCAATCTAAAGAAGCCATTGGAAAATTTGATAAAAGAAGCAGTCAATGAATAAATAAAACAACCAGGGACGAGTGGTCCTAGTGATGCCAGTTTACAGCTCACAATTCATACTGTCTCTCTTTGGCCATACTGGCCTCTCTTTGATCATTGCTTTCCTTTTTATCGTTTCCTACATCTGATTAATTGATTGAGAAACATGCTGCTCATACAAATGCACTGATTAAATTGTTTTATTACCTAGAAAAACCCACTCTACCTTCTTTTGAACTATAAATGTTGCAGTTAAAAGAACCATTGAGAAAAGAAATATATCTATATCTTTTAAGGACATAGCATCTCTGAAGGAAGCAGTGGCCCTGTATTGTCCTGTGTGATAACCAATGCTCTATTCTCCAGAAGATTGACTTAGCCTATAGAACTAGCAAATGGAACAGGTGGGACCATGTTCTAAGATCTGAATTTCCAGAAATCCCAACTGAATCTAAATCTAAGATATGTTCCATGTTTTGAAGCTCAGACTTATAATGGACTGGATTTAAGATGAGAGATGAGATTCCAGGTCACAGCCACACTTTTGGACACCAGAAATTTATTTTCTTTTCAATCTATCATAAACACAAGCTTTTCTGCAGTAGCATAAATTCTGTGGTACAAGTTTCGAGCAGACAGAAACATCTCAGACTTTAGGACATTCTTTCTACAACACAGTGGATTGTTAGCTTCCTTGAGGAACTAGTGATATTGCTTTATTTTAAAAAAATAAGAATGGGAGTCAGTTAAAAGACACCACACAGTTTTCCTATGATTTTGAAAGGTGCTGCTTCACTTCAAACTAAAATATATCATAAGTTTACAATTTCTTCTATGATTTCAGAAGACACATGAGAATTTCATGCGTAAGTTATATGACTGCACACATAGCAATACATTAATGCCATAAGTTTACAGTAGCAATTAGAGCACACAGAGTAAAATGTGCATTTGGATTATATTCTGTCAGTCACCATATTTCAAAGGTACTGAAACTCTTCACCACTTCATGGTGAGTTTATGATTCTAATATCTTAAATATGTATTAAGTGTATTTTATTTGAAGTCACATGTGACATATAAAAAATGGAGGAATCTAAATTTCAGCACTTTGCCTAAGGTCACAATATGCAGGTATTTTAGAGGTAAGGTTATCATACTACTCAGTTTGGGAACGTTTTGGGGTGTTTTGTGGGTTTTTTTCTACAATAGGAATCTCAAAACATACTATATGCATTGGATCCAATTCTCAGCAACTTGGCCTGTTGCTACCAAAGTATTTAACTAAAAAGAACTGACCTAAAAAGAAAGACTGGCCTGAAGTGTAGCCAGGCTCCTATCTAATGTGCAAGAAGAGAGGAGTGTATCACTCCTGAAGGTGAAAGCAGAGAGCAAAGCCACCCAGCACAGCAGCCTGCTTGACTCAAGCCAGAACAGCCTCCCTTTTCTATCTTTTAATGTGCTCTGTATTTAGCTTTATATCAATATCGATTCTTCATTCTAATCCCAAATACAATAATTTTTTTTCTAGTGTACCATAGAAAAGATCCATGTCGTACCTTTCTCTAGATAACCCAATACTATGTCCTATAGCTCCTATGTAGCACTTCTAAGATCTCTTCTCTATACACATCATCTTTTGTCTATACACATGGACCATCCTAAACAACTGATTCAGCCAAATACTATTTTTTTTAATATATATCTTTTCAGCAACATCTTCTCTGTTGCTGCAATACAAGGTATGTCTTCATTCTTCTCAAGGCTCTTTATTGCCATCCTTGCTTTGGAATGCTTCCCCTCAAGTTTGGAAAGAGCCTTCACAAACACCCAGAAAGTCTGCTCTCATACCAGTTCATCATAAAAATTTTTTTTGTCCTATGAAAAGATCTGGAGAAATTAGTTTGCTAGTATGCTGAAACTGTAATTCACAGCAATATAGCATCATTTCTTTCTTGTCTTCTTTTACTTCATCTTTCTGTTGTCCCTGTTTTTATTTAGATTGTGCACTGCCTAGTGCATCTGGGCCTCACATGCAGCTTCTCTGGTATATATCAATACATATAACATAAATATTGTTGGCAACTGTTCCACCCTATTTCTGAGGCTGATTCAAATGTAGGACAAAGCATACTTCACTTTTGTTGATTTACACAATCAGATGTTAATGTATTGCGTCTTTCAGATTCTGACCAAGTTAATGCAAAATTAAAGCATCCTTCCCATTTTTAAAGTTTAATAGCTTGTCTGATTTCCTTCAATAATATAATTCTGAGTAATGCAAACTTGATCATATAATTTCTTACACAAAATACTTAGGCAAACTTTTGAATGCCTTCCCAGATCGATGTAGGACCTCCTTCCTCTGGCATTTGTTGGAAAGATGCTTTCAGTTTCTCTGCTCATTGAAGTTGAAGCAATCCTAACAGTCTTCTCAGTTCAAAACCTCTGTGGAGTTTTATCATTACCGTGATAGCTTATTCAAATTTAAAGTGTTGATTTGTGCTTTCCCTGTAAAGTGTGAAGATTTCTGTTTTTCTTGGTGATAACATTTGTAGTGAGCTATACATATTCAACAGTTTTTAAGAGGAGACAAAAAATTTAGGCACAATAGTATCAGGAAGATGACTCTAGAAAAGAACAAGAATCAATTTCTTCAAATATTATTCCTAACCCTCTAAATAGTCCTTCTAACATTTTTACATTATTTTAAAATTGTTGCTAGATATTTACATTTCATCATAGTGTTAAGAAAGCTTTGAGAATAAACAGATAACACTGTGAAAAGGGAAATACAGGTTAATAGACAGGAAATGTCTTGTCTGTGGATGAAATCAGATTCTTGTTCTTGGTTGCTCTAAAAGAATGAACAACATAAATTTGATCATGACTCCGTACAACTCCTAATGAACAGGTATAAAGATCATAAATAACGAAAAGAACAATTAATTTCATCTGAGAGTTTAAGCAGATAGTGGACATGAAGAGCAAATTGAAACTAGACAGTTACAGCAAACTGAGGCCAAGATATTAGCAGAGCGGTATGAAGATCTTTTTATTGTTTACATTAATGCTTTCTTTGAGCAAACAGGTGTTCTAGAATTGTAAATCCAATACATTTCATGAATGCTAACATCCTCTGGAAAATAACTAGTTTACTAGAGTTGGATTATAAAGAAGTTTACTTCTTTGAAAAGGAATTTTATAGCCAGCAGATTTACTAAATCCAATAGTTCCCTATAGTGCCATATTCCTAATTTTTTTTAGAAATTAAACCTAACATTAACATAAAAATGTCAGTGGCTGAGTATGTAAAATAACTTTTTCTTAGAATTCTTTTTTAAAATATGCACATCTGAACTAGAATTATAATGGCTTCGACACTATGGATTAACATCATATAAGAGACCACAATTATGTCAAAGCAGCCATTTCACTCTCGGAAGGACAACGTAGATATTTTTGAATGTATAAGTTAAGTGAACAGTCTGTCATTCATATCTCCACGCATTTCAGTGGCAGGTTTTTTTCCCCTCTGGCACTTGCGGTTTCGATGTATCACCCGCCAGGAAAGGACATTGTTCTTGAAGATTAAGCAAAAAAGCACTAAAATGTAACCACAAAAGAAGGTTTTGAGTATCATTAAGGATCTGATTTAAACCCACAAAAGCAATGAAATTTAAGAGTAAGTCAATTATGATTGACATGTGTCCCTTAACGTATGCTAGATACTGCTTGCTGCACATGCAGGAAGTTATTAAAACCATTTAACAATACATTTTGTGTGATGACAGCCCGATCAAGGAGCACAATCAATTAAAACAAGAGATAGATAAATTCAAAAATTGTGGGAGCTAATTCAGTACAGGGGTGTAATTAAAAGTTCAAGTGGTTATGTAAACCTTTGTGGTTCACTTGTCGGACTGTCAGTCACATGGTAACAAGCTGAAGGGACCCTGCAAAGAACCATGATTTTCCCCTTGGCTGCCTACAGTGGGTCCTCCAAACTCAAACACAGATCTCTGCACAGAGGTGATTTTCTGTATAGAAATAGCAGTCGCTGCAGATCCTGCTAAAGTTACTGTGAGCTGCAGGTGGTTTTGTCTGTAAGTCTGACTTCTGAAAATTTTGTTTGTGGATATTAGCATTTGGTCACCATGAAAATTGATATTTGGTATAAAGACACTCATGTTGCTTAAAGATAGAAACAGGTGAAAAGAACCCTGAAATTTGGATTCTGTGGTTTGGAAAACCCTTTAATAACAAGATGAGAGTCTCTTCAAAGATTTCCAGAGGAGAGAGAGGAAAAAAGGGAGGGAGGGAACTGAAAGTACTATGTTTCTGGTACCTTACTTGTTTTGCAGGAGGCACAGCTCATTAAAACACACTCAAAATGATGCTGCTAGGAAAGCAGATTTTGAGTGAATGTTAGTGAGCTCTGCAAATCAGAGTTAAATTCTGCAACGCAAGCACATTCAGCACCTCCCACAGCCAGATGGGATGTGGTTTAGTAAACATTTTTTTGCTGTGAGACCTAAAGTTATTCACACAGAGGGCACAGACAGACCAAAGCTCCTCTGGTAGCTCCTTGTCTAAAAGCCACCCAGCCACATTCACATAGCTCCAACTAATGCAATGATCTAACAGCTCTGGCAGGTTGGAGCCTAAATGGGGTTAGGACAGCTCTATTTCTATCTGCCTATGTAGAGGTAACAAAGAAGGTATGAAATACAGATTCTTGACCATATTTTGATATTAAAAAAATTCTGTAACTTTTATCAAAGATTGGCTCCTCTCAATATCACTATCTTTTCTGTCCCTTTTTTCTTGATTTTTACTACTTAAATTGCAATTTTTTCAGTACTTCTTTTATTACAGCACCTAAAACAGTAATGGACTGATGGTTCATTTCTGTATTTAGGCTTAATAGGAAGAGAACTACAACTTGTGGTATAAATGGTAAGAACATGCTCTAACTCTTTCCTGGCACATTCCATCCAACAGTACAGAACATCTTGTTATGAATTAATACTCAACCTCATACAAGCATTGTCTCCACATTTCAGTAGGGTACAGAACAGTTACAAAACTTCCCCAAGGTCATTGTGAAGTCTCTGTCAAAACAAGAATAGAACACACATGATTGCCAATTTTTACTTTAGCTATATAATGATTATTTCCCTGACACACAATATCTCTTTATGCATATGTCCTTAGTAATAAAAAATAGGGAAAAGAAATACCTCAGATATACATGATGCAGTCTATAAGCAGAAGTCTCACTAAACGATATGTCTTTCAAATTTTTCCATGAGGCATCAACATCTCTTTAAGGACTTTATCATCGTTACTGACACATAATCATTCCTTGCAGGTGGAAAACATTGCACTGAGAGATAATTGGGATAGTTATTGGATATGACTCCTCACTGGTTTTAAGGCAGTATTAGGGCATGATTGCATCCTGCTCAAAGAAAAGAATGAATATTCTCTGCATTTATGTCAGATTGAGTGATTTATAGGTATTGTAAGTACCGCACTAGATTATAAGATCTAATATTATCTGATGGGATGCAATACAAACTTAAAATATGGATGCTTTCCCCTTAGAGAAGAAAAGCTGTTTTGGCTGTTGGAGTCACAGTTACTGTTAGTTTATCTGGGTGGGGTAATTTGATCTCAGCTTATGTGGAGGAAATTGTCATCTCACAGCGCCACACTCACTGTAAAAGGAACAAATATTGTGAAAACCTTTCCTAAACAACTGGGCTTATTAATGAAAAAAATCTGGTATCTGTAAATAAGCACTTTGCTGATACATTTGTGAGCAGTAAATCACTCTTAGGAATCCTATTTGTGGTGGATAGTTTAAATGACTAAGCAAATCTTGGTTCCTCAAATAAGGGCTTGGGTTTCAGGTTATGTGGGAGAAAAAGGGGCAGTTGAAGGGAGACACTTCTTCATCCTACAAGACCTTTAAGAGGGGAATCTCTGCCCATAATTGGGGAGGGGAAAATCCCCTACCTGGAGCAAGAAAATTATAGCTTTATATAGCAAAGAAACCTCTAAGGAAGCATTAAATTTGCTATTCTTTTTTCTCCAGGATAATATTAACACATGCTACACATGGACATTCAGGTGTTTATTCTAATTGTCACACCCAAAGAAGATTAAACAGACAAAACAGTGTGCTCTATGTGAACAGCAGGTGTGAAATACTAAGGAAACAAGGACCCTTTTTTCACGAAAATGAAGGACAGTTATCTAACAAAGCTAATGTTTTGTCTTTAGTTCAAAACTGGTCTGACCCAAAGCCCATTGGAGTCAATGTAAGTTTCTTCATTAACTTCAGAGAGTTTTGGATCAAGGCCAGTATTATTCCTGTTGCTAGGGCTCATTGTTTAATTTTAGTAAAAGAAAAATCTTTAATTTCCTTTTTTAGAAGAAGTAATTTTAAAAGACCAAGTGTCAGTTGTGTCCATTTTTTTATTAAAAGCTTTTTTCACTGGATACTTTGTCAGTAGAAGTATACCATGAGTAAGTCATGGTATATTTTTAAGATTTTTCTCATTCAATGAAAAGGAATGTCAGAAATTAACAGCCCCAAAATTTACACCTCGTGCTATGGAAGGGGGAGAGGGGGAAAAGTAAAGAAACTAGACATACTTTTATTGCCTAGGAAGAACTTTGGCTATTGTTTTGTGGGTTTTTTTATGGGATAGAACGTCACTATGTGCAATACTACAGGGATTTCCAGTCATTGTTTCATATATGGAATTCCTATTGAAGTCAATGGCGCTGTGGCATGAAACTCCATGGCAGGATACGGCTGTAAGAGCAGTGAATTTTATCCTAATGTAACAAGTCAGATGACTGAAAAGTGCTCACTAAGCCAGGTGATGACACCCCTGAAGCTGAATTTCTTTTGAAAAAAATAAGAAAGATATAAGACATCAAGCCCAGACTCCCTCTGCTGTTGCTCCACAGCCAGAGAAGCTCAGGTGAAGTGTTTGTAACCTTCTCACTCTCTCTGTCATCTGCTCCCCCCTGAAGTTCCAAGAGCTGAAGAGGAGAAAGCAAGCTCTTCCACTATAAAAGCAAAGCTTCTCTGATGCCAAAATTCCAGTTCCACCTTTCCCCAGACCAAACCAAATCTTGCTGCCAAGATGTTATGCCATATCTGCTCTATTTCACAGATACCTGGCAAAGCAAACCACATAGACCTTTGAAAGATGTAACAGTCACAGAATTTTTTACTTTTGGGGTTTTTTTTCATTATGGTCAGCACTTACATGCTGGATCATCCTTATCTCTGAAAGTCTGGTTTAATGGTAGCAGTTACCATCTCAGCCTAATTCTCAAGTGATCTGTCACCTGAGTCATTAAATTCAAAGTGGTGTCCACCTATATATTTTTAGTTCTTAATTCATGTGAGTCCTTCACCATGGGATGCAGGGCAGCAATCACGAAATAAGTCCAGAAGAAACATTCTGTTACTGGGGGAAAAACTCAGCCAGCTGCACCAGTGACATAGGCTGTTGGCAGTATTGCAGGGTGTCCCAGACTTGGCTCATAGCCATGCATATGACTGCCTTTCCAAGTGGCCTTCAAAACCAACCATGTCTAAGCATATTGTGTTTAAGACATCAGTTTCATGGATATGATTTCTCCAAACATTCAGCCTTGTGGCTATTCTCAATTTTCTGTTATTATACAGTGCCTGAGGTGATTCTTAAAAACAAATTCTGATGGAAACGTTTTTGTCAGTTTTATGAGGAATGGAAGAATGAAGGATATAGTCTCATTGTAAAAAGAAAGAAGGTGATAACACAGCTCCTGTAAAAATGTCTGATTCTGAGATGTGAAATTTAGCATGGGTCTCTTGTGCTTAGTTCCAGGGTAAAAAATAGATTGAGTGATAATAAACAAGAGAAAAATCATACCTGTGCATGCTTGGTAGACAAGTAGCCTGAGGAAGAGTGTTTGTGATATCATCCCATGATAGGGGAGAATGCTTTTAGTCTCTGGAAAATGGGTAGCATGTTATATTGGTTCTCAACAAATCTGGGTTTTGTCCTGTTTCTGCCACTGGCCTCCTGAGTGACACCAAGAAAATAATTTTTCTCTATTTTGTCTCTGCTTCCATAGCTTTAAAATCAGGAAAACATATGCTTACCTTTTTTTTTCTTCTTCTTTTTTCTTCTTTTGTTTTTTTTAAAGATCTCTCAGACCCCTCAATTAAGGATTCAGAAAAGAGCTAGATAGTGTTAGTATTATTATGAATAGCCTAAGTCAACATGGGAATAAAGCAGAAATTATGACTCTACAACTCTACAGTTCTCCAGAGTTCAGTCTGGCACAAAAGTATTTTGTATAAGAGTACAAAGAAACAAGGTAATAAGGGTACTTTTCTTAAAACCGCCACTGATTTAGGGTACTTCAGACTTATGAAGTCCAGTTTAGATGTTTTCTGTTTTTCATGTTTTCTTCTAATGAGATCAGCTCCACTTCAGGAAACACAGAGGACTGAAAACAACAAAGAATGAAAAACAACATCTTTCAAGTCAATTTTATTTCAAATAATACGTGGTTTCATTTTATATTAAAAAAAATACTTAGTTGACATTTTAGGAGATCAAATACTGTGTCCTTTAGGACTACATCTGCATATGTGTGTATGTATGGACACACATGTGCATCTATATACCTCAATTAATGTTTGGTTCTGTAAAGCATTTAGAAGAAATAAAAAAGAATAAATTCTGGTCTCTCAACTATTTTAACTGACAATATCTCATTAAGTTGAGAGATTAATTTTATTCCATGGGCATGGCAAAAAAAGAAGTCAAAAAGTTTACTCAGAGCCAAGGACAACAGGGGAATTGCCTTTTTCAAGAAACATGGCTGTACAAAACTTGCAAAGTTTATGGAATCTTTCTGGTTTGTATTGCTTTACAAGATCTGACAGAGGAGTATTGTTTCCAGAAGTGTAACTTCTTAATGTGTTTCCCAGAACCCTGAAAATATGGTATGTAGGTACTAGTGGTCTAAGGGTCACCTGTATCCTGCAGGAATAACCTTACCTATACATGGATAGAAGTAGGTAGTGATATATATAGATGTACTCTTTGGTTTTTTTCCCCAATAGATTCTTGAGAGTTACACAAAGCTATTGAGATACTAAGGATGTCTTTAGCCCAGGATAAGTATGCTTTCAAATCTTTAAGTATTGAAAAAACTTTCTGCTTTGTTGTTTATTATTATTTAGCAGAAAGCATAACATCCTTCTTCCCCTGCCTCTTCATTTCACTAAATGCCTCACAGGTAGCAGTGAGAGGAGGTCTGAAATTCTAATACAAACTAACTTGTTCCAGAAGTCTCTTCTCAAGTAAATTATCCTGACCGTTAGTACAGCTTCACATGGTATTTCCACGGACGTAAAGCACACGAGACAAATATTTTAAACTGCTGCTCTCCTGTACTGACTATGTGCAACCAATTGATTGTCAGCTATGCCTAATTATTTCTTATTTTTTAATAATCTGTGAGCTGTAAAGCACCTATCATGGCTGCCACCCAGACTTTTCAATAACATTAAAACAAAGCAAAACAAAAGAGCCCTCAAATATTGATTCAGTAATCTATCTCCCTCCCTCAAGGAAAGCTTGCCTGCCATAAAATTCCAATCAATTGCACACACACAATTATGAAAATATGGGCCTTAAAACTTCATTCAAAAGCCTGATTATGCTAAATATAGATCAACACGTAATTTCTTCTTCCTTTCTATTTTTAAATCACGTTTTTGACAAATGTTGAAGTTAGAATGAGTGGTTTAGATTGTTTTTCTTTCTCTTTTGCATCAAAGGGTTTGTGGAGGATTTCATGGGTTTAATAGCTACATATTCTTTATTGCTCCTTTAAAATACTAATAAAAGTGATGAAAAGGTATGAAAAATCATCACTGATTGCATAGGAATTCACTTAAAATACGATCTTTCCTTTGCTCAGTTATCATCTGTGGTGGTGTTTCCTTACAGAAATGGTAAAGGGCTAAAAGTTCTTAATAAAAAACACATGCTTTTCTTTACTCCACCACCACACTTGAATGTATTCCCCTGAGGAAAACTACACCAGGTTAACCACCACAAGGCAGCCTGATGGTAAATTGGATCCATTTTTAAAAATGCATTCCCAGAAGATTCAGTTTAATATGCTGTTTCTGAGAATACCTCTGTGAGATTGTCTTTTCCCTTTGATAGTCTTGCTCTTCATATTTGGAAGCAATCTCAGCTAGTGAAAGGCAAGCACAGAAAACACCATTTTGAGACAATAAAGCAACGAAGACCAGAATTACTTAAAATTTAAAAACAAAAAGCAAGTATATGTTGCATTCAATCTTTTTTTCTATCTCTGGACACACAAAATTCTTTGCACTTAACAGAAGGGAAATTGGGTCATTTCCCTTGAAGTATGTAAGAGGCAGTGTTACTGGTCCAAACCTTAAAATATCATAAGGACACTGAGAAGCTTTTATCCATACTTATGGCCAGGTCTTGAATTTAATGGACCTTAACTGAAAAATGTGGTATTAAGGTCTTTTACTTATCTTTTGAAAGTTTTTGTTAATTTGAGAAACTATCCCCACACTTAAAATAGAAATCACTGTGGATTCAGCAGCAGGACTTCTCTTAGGAGAAAAAAATTTTAAACCAGATCTTCCCATTTGCAAATGGCGTGTTGGGTTCTGTCAGTGATAATCAATTCCACATAAAACAGCTTCACTTCCTTGTTCAGGAGCAGTGACATAGCCTTGCACATTAAGGGGGGGACAGAGAGGGAGAAAAGGATCTTAATTCAAAGACAGAAAGAGAGGCCTAGAACAAGCATTTGACCTTGCTCTGAAGGAAAAAAAAAAGTGCTAAATGAAATGAAAATAAATAAACTGTGACTGGTGAAATTAGAGTATCATATCAGCAGGTTTTCTGGCAAAGCTGCTTTCAAGAATGGATAGAGGGACATAACGCCCAACAATATCTTCCCCCATTGTCTATCATGC